GCCCGGGCCACACTACCTGCTGCCCGACACCAACGTGTTGCTGCACCAGGTGAGTCGGCGGGCGGGCATGTGGCATAAAGGGAAACCGAGGCCCGGGGAGGTGGGTAGGCGACGGTGTCGCGGATTTAGGAGAGGCACGCCCCATTGGGACCCACGCTTACTCTTTCCCAGGCCGAAGCTCTTTTTCTTTTGCTTCCTCTCCTCTTCAGTTTTTAGAGTTTTAAATCTTAGACACGTTAATTTTCTAACTCTTGGTGTCTCTTCTACTTTAGATTGATTGTAAGTGCCTGGAAGCCGGAGACCTGGGCTTCTGAGGCTTCCAGCTTGCAACCCCCAGGCAGCTTGTAAGTGCCTACGAACAAAAACTATGTGGGCCACGTATTTCTTTATTAATAGCCTTCATACTACCAAGTTTTGATCTCTTTCCGTGTGCTCTTCTCCGATAGGCCTGAAGGGTTAAGTGACTTACCGCTTTTTGTACAGCAAAATAATTCGATGGCCTAATATAGAGTCAATATTTTAAACTGCCAGTTTTATGTTTGACAGAAACAATTTCTAAATGAAAACAGGAAAAAGTAACCTTTTTTTTGTTTTGTTTTTAGATTGATGTTCTGGAGGACCCTGCCATCAGGAATGTAATTGTGCTACAAACCGTTCTCCAAGAAGTGAGAAATCGGAGTGCCCCTGTATATAAAAGAATCCGGGATGTGACTAATAACCAAGAAAAGCATTTCTATACTTTCACTAATGAGCACCATAGGTAAGAGGAGAAGTATACTAAGTATCACAAAGTCATAACTAGCAAAATTGGACAGAAGATTCCTGGGAGTAATTTGTAACATTGTTGAAAATAAACCGAAGTTCCCTTTGCCCTTTGATTCTTAAGGTCACCCAGGCATTGGGGAAGTCAAGCCTAAAACCAATGTCTAAGGACTCTTAGGCTGTTACTAGTTACTTTTATTTCCGCAATATATTCATTTTAAGTTGATTTTAGCATAAGTCTAGCTTCTTGGAATATTGTATTATGTGAATAACCAACATAGGGTAATAAAATAAAGAATATGAGTTTGTGAAGGAAGGAGTTAAAAATATAAAGCAGATTTATTCTTAATGGGATTTAAAATTTTTAAGCTGATACCTTACAACTGAATCACACTGAAGATTAGATTAAGAAATAAAATTCTTTGTTATGTTTCAAGTTGAACTTGACGTGTGGTCTTAAAAATATATTGTCTATTTCTGACGTTACATAAATAATCTGTGATGGGTATCTGTGACACTGTGCAATCAATTTCTCAACCTTGATACTGTTGACGTCTTGGGCTGGGTAATACTTTGCTGAGGGCAAGCTGTTATAGATATTGTAAGATGTTTCACTGCATCCCTGGCCTCTACCCACTACATGACAATACCAGTCTTCCCTCCGTACTACCACTACCAGTGAGTTTTAACATGTAGCATTTTTAGCCATTGTCATGTGGTCCCCTGGTGGGTGGAGGGAGGGCAGATTCAGTCCCTGATTGAGGAAAACTGGATTAGATACCAGGTTGTGCTAATGAAATCCCATCAGATTTGCACATTTAAAAAAAATGATTTCTCAAATTTCTTACACACCCAAATTAAATATTGATCTTATAAAGAACATCAATAAGGCACTTGCAGATTTTTATGCCTTCTACCTTCTCTACTGGTAACAGGAAAATTATTTATTTTTCAATACCAAAACACCAAGCTTTGTTGTTGTTGTTTGTTTTGTTTTGGTTTTGGTTCTGGGGATTGAACTCAGGACCTTATGCTTGAGAGGCAGGCAGTGGAACCACTGAGCTAAATCCCTGGCCCCTAAAAGACCAAGTTTTGATGGATTGTTTTCATCAGATTCCTAATTGGGTTAGCAATTTTTTAGTTCAGGTATTGTAAATAGTCGTTTGTACTGGGATTGATGGGAAGACTCTTAAATCAATAAATCTCTAAGATTTACTACTCAAGTCATGTTAAAATGAAATTCAAATTTATGAGTACGTCTTTCACTTATAAGCTGAGAACACTTGTAAGTGCATTTAATGATAGAGAATAAAAATTCTTAAAAATCTGTTAAATAAGTCTAAAATTGAATCTATGAAACACCAGAGGCTATTCTACTGAATTTGGTTACTGTGTTTAAATCTGGCTTTGAAGAACAAGAAATAGATAAATGTTGTCATGACTCAGAGTAGATAACCTTAGAAGGAACGTGTAATCTTTTTTTTTTTCCTTTCTGGTACCTGGGGATCAAACTCCATCCTTGCACTTGCAAGGCTGGTGGTGGCATTGCTGAGCTAAATCCCTTGTCCCAGGAACATGTAATCTTAACTATATCTGGTCTTTCAGTCTCTACTTAGTCTTTGTCTTTTATTGAGTTTTTATCATGGGTCATTTATTTTTAAGAATTTGTGTTAATCCATGGTTCCAATGAAGTGTTACTACATCTACAAAATATTTTAGTTTGTTTCAACAAACTATTTAATGTACTAGTATGAAGTGTAAATTCTTTTTTTTTTTTTTTTGGTGTCAGGGTCAAACTCAGGTCTTTCCGCTTGTAAGGCAGGTGGCGGAACCACTGAGCTAAAGCCCTGGCCATGAAGTATAAATTCTGATCTTGAATGTTTATTTTTGTGAGGTGAAATTATATAAGGCTTTTTACTTATACTATTCTTTTACAAATTGTTGTTTTAAAAACTTACCTATAAACATCTTGTTTACTTCTCTAATGTATGTCTGCACAATAAAAATAGATACATATGGGCTTTTCAGTTTAGTGGTTGAGTGAAGTTTTTAGGTGTTGTTTTCTGTAGATTTCTTTTTATTTTCCCCCTTTACCTATAGAGAGACCTATGTAGAACAAGAACAAGGAGAAAATGCTAATGACAGAAATGATAGAGCCATTCGAGTAGCAGCAAAATGGTACAATGAACATCTGAAGAAAATGTCGGAAGAAAATCAGCTGCAAGTTATCTTTATAACCAATGATCGCAAAAACAAAGAGAAAGCTGTAGAAGAAGGAATACCAGCATTCACGTGTAAGCCTAAATGTAGAAGCATTTACTGTATATTTGCAAGTTCTTATAAAAATTAGCATCAGGCAAGACACTTGAATGTATTGAGAACAACATTAACTTATTTTTCAGGTGAAGAATATATAAAGAGCCTAACTGCTAACCCTGAACTCATAGATCGTCTTGCTTGTTTGTCTGATGAAGGGGTATGTGTCAGTTTGTTCTGTTTTGAAAAGTGAAAATATTAGAATAGCCATCTTGGGATATGAGGCTTACAGCTGCCATGTTTAAAAATTGGACCATCAATAAGCTGGAACTGAAGTAGGGATTAGGTTATAAATAACGTGTTCTGTAATAGGCTTATTAACATGCATTCCTAAATGAATTAACTTTCTAAAGTAAGGCCTGGCACATTTTTGATGAGAAAATGAATGAAACCCCTGGCTGATTTGTAAATAAGTACTAGGTGTTTGAGAAATAAAGTGGTGAGCAATGCAAGTTCAAAGTAGCAAATTCAGAAAAATAGTGTTGAGTTCAAAGGTAGAGGGCAGGGAATCAGAAGAGATAGAATAGAAAGAGCAGCACCAGATAATGAGGACCTCGAATGTATTCTGTAGATCAGTAATTCTTCCAAGTGTCTTATAAAGATTTCCCCAAAAGTCTGCCATAAAGAAAAGATAGCAGATAGGATTCTGACCTCCCTATTTCATATGGCAGAATTAGAGAAATTAAGGCCACATGAGAACATGGGGAGGGAGCTTATTTGTAAGAACAGTACTGTCAGTGTGAAAGACGCTGCATTATTACCTACGGCAAGATTAGTGGCAGAGAGCTGAGTAAAGAGGTTACTGCAAAAGCCAATGTTACGGGTATTGCTAAAGGAATAATCCAACTCTGAGCTTTCATTTTTTTGTGTGTGTATATAAAAAGTGAATTAGCAATAATGACTCTGTGGCATTGTTAAAAGGATTGAATGAAATAATGATAACATTAATGAAGGTTGGGCCTGGCATATAGCTGTAGTAAATGTAAATTTAGTATAGAAATTACTATGATAATTTACTGTATTACAAATTTACTATAGCTATTATTATAGAAATAGTGTTATATGACATGTATACATCCAGTCTTTAAACTTTTTCCTATCCCTTCTTGTCTTTAGCTACTTTACAAAACTTAAATGAAGTGAGACGATACAAGTTGGACTTGATTTTTGGAATACTGTACAGATTTAGGATTACCCTGTGTAATATGTAGCCACTAGTTGCACATGCAATTTACATACATGTGCAATTAAACATCTTTTTAAATTTTAAAATTCAGTTTCTCAGTTGGTAATATCCACCTATCAAATGCTCAAGAGAAAAATTGTATCTAGTGGCCGTTGTATTGGATATCACAAAAAGAATATTCTTTCCGGCTAAGAAAGTTGCTTTTGATAGAATGGTCTAGAAGAAGCACTATGCTATATTCTTTCAGATGAGACCCCTATATACTATACTGTGGATTTTTAAAAATTACC